TCTTTGATTTCTCCAAATCCATTGGGATTTAGGCCTAAGTTCTTCACCAAAGTTGGTCATCACCTCGAGGGCTTCGTTGTGTGCGGTGGAGATCGAGTTTCGACACTGTAAATTTTGGCGTTTCATCTCAATTTTTCTTCAAAACTTGAGGTAGGAATTTTCTTTGATATATATATATATATATAGATTTGCAAGATCTAGATGATTTTTTTCGAAATCATCCTTTGATTTGTTTTGGAAAATGGGTTGTTGATTCAAGAAGATGAATGATTTTGGAAGTGGGTTTACTTTCTTGTTTCTTTTAAAATAGAAATAGAGGGTTTTGAACTATGTTGGTAAAAGAAATATGTTTTTTGTGAGATCTTCTCAAATCTTTGAAGATGGTTGGTTTTGGTGAGAAAACCTAAAAATTTGGGATTTTTTAGAAAGATGTTGAAAAGTTTTGGAAGATGTTATTATATTTGTTTTGTGTGCCAAAATAAATGATGTTAGAAAAATCGTTTATTTATTTACATATAAATGATGTTTTAATGGAATATGGGCATTGTTGAGATCGCTTGAAATGTGGGAGTTATGTTATCCCTTGGATGAATTGAAATAAATATATTTATTCATCATGTAAAATTGTATTGAAAAGAGAAATGAAAATTTTGATCACAATGGAAATATTGTGTGGAAGAATTGAAATGGATAAAATGTTGCATTGCATCAATTGATACATTGGCATATCAATTCATTGATAATGAAGAGCTTTGAAATTTGATTTGAAAACTTTGCATAGAGTAAAGAATGTTGAGAAACAAGTTTTCATGAATTGGTTTTGGGGTAAATATGGTGGGAAGTCTTGATAGGTAGTGTAGAGGATATGTGTCGAGCCTTCTAGTTAATTCTGGTAAAAATGATAGATTGTGGGTGTCGAGCCTTCCAGTTGATACTGGTAAAAATGATGAATTGGTAGTACTTATATAGTCTACTTGCAGACACAGACCTAGGGATTACCAGAGTTGTACCACCATACAGTGTCCTCTACAACGTTATGACACCACCATACAGTGTCTTCACCAACGGTCTGACACGACCATACAGTGTCTCCTATCCTTTTTTTATGTATTTTCTTGTTTTGTTCCTCTCTTCAAACTCAAGTTGGTTAGTTTCTATCCTCCTTGAGTTTCGGGGGGCTGTTAGAATTTACCATCACCTACCACCACTACCACCTCACCTACTCCACTAAACCTAACCCACTACACCACTACCACCATCTACTACACCTACATCTATATAAGGAACCATTTGTAATAGACAGTATACAACAACATATATCAATCAATAATACAGTATTTTTTTTAACACCATCTATTAGAACCTACACGTAAGTTTTCCAAAAATTAACTCTTATTTGCTTAGAAGTTCCAAAAAAAGGTAATCTGGGGGAGAGTTATGGGAGTTGTTTTTCTGTTATTGATGGGATTGAAATGAAATGACACGACGAGTGAAGGAGGGGTAAAATAGACTTTTTCCATCTGTTAATTATTGATTCTGTCGTTCTCAAAAATAAAGCTGAAAACTCTGGTATCTAGAGAATTATTACTCCCCCAGATTACTATCACCACCGACTTCATCTCTGACTATCACTCGGCTGCCAACTTCCTTTTACTGTGAGCAAAACTCCATTCCATGTAGGAAAATTTTTCTGAAAGAGTTGAGAACAAAAACTTTTTAAGTTGCACATCCACCCATATTCAAACATCACAACCTATAATGCCCAAACCAGCATTGGTTTTTCACCCTCAGATTTAATAATCAAACCTTTTTTTACGTATATCTTTTGCCAACTTTGAAAAATCACATTTGATGAAGATGGTTTGTGCATATATATAGAGCCAATCTTTAGTGTTTTCGGGTAACACTTGCTGCATAGGTGTGGATGGTGTGGGATCATTGAGGGTATGTTTTGGAAAGCAAAAGAGAAAGAAGGGCTGGTGAGTGAGTTGTTTTAGGTGTCATAGACTGTTACAGACTTCCTTGTAAATGAAAATTAATTTTTTGCCTTAATGGTAATAATCCCATAATAATATAGGTTATGGATAATTTTTTACTTAAAATATGCTTCTAATGGAGCTTCAAAATTAGTTGTAGTCCAATGAAACCTAGCAAGCGTTTAGTGGTTTAGATAACTGATATTTGGCTGATGCATTTGGCAGGATCTGTACTGGAATATGCTGTTATGGCGTTGTGTTGATAATGGCTCCTATCAAGGTTGCCCTCTCCCCGAAAGGCAAAATTATGTTGAGGAAGACACCCCACAAGAGAATTATTATGAAGAAGAGTACCCTCGGCCCTCTGACGAAGTTGAACAGGATAGGGAAAGAGAGACCTATCAGAGAGGAGAAGATTTTTCTAAACCCGTCTTTGATGAATCCAAGTGGTCGGATGGTTGGAAGTAAATTTTCTTATTTTGTTCTTCTGATTGTTGGTACATTAAAGCGAGATTAGTTTTCGTCCTGTAAATTCCACAGAACTAGGAAAGATGTATCGATTGTGTTATTATTATTATTTCCAAAACATTATAGGTCAGTTCTCAAAGGCTTTTTATCTATGCTTGCTCTGTTAGTGTTTGGCATGCAATAAATTAAGGTAGTATTATCAAAAGCAATATGCAAATGGCGTCTGTTTTGTGATATTGTTGCGCTGTGGATTGTTTTCTTGAACTGTTGCCAAATTTCTTGCTTAGGAAATTACAAATGAGTATGGCATGTAGTTCTGTATGGGAAGATCAGTAATGGGTGAAGCAATATAGGTCAGTGAAAACTGAGAAATAATTCAACGTAACAGTGATATCATCGACGACATGTGGTAGATGTCACTACTTGATTGCTGTCTTGATTTTAATCTGTTTCTTTGTATATGCACTTCTTGACAGAGAAAATTAATTGAGTTTCACTTTTGATCAAATTAATTAGGCGAAGGGGTCAAATAACAAACAAAAGTGGCATCATTGTATTCTTGGTTTCATTCTGTACCAAAAACCGAGTTTATAAGCAGGAAATGAAGCCAAAGGCTGAAACTTTACATCATATAAGCATGAAAAAGAGTGACAACTAGAAGGGAGTGTCTTGACAGTAGTGAAAATTCACTGTCCTGTCCATTTGATGTTAAGTATCCACTCCTTGACACACTCAAATTGGGAGCAGTATGGTTGCTTAGTAGTGGTGGCTGCCACCTTGTTGCTATCGTAGAATTGATGCCTGAAGCTTCAATCAATGGGCCCCGACCTTCTTGTGGCGTTGGGGGCACGGGCAAATCAGTTGGAGCCGAAGGTTCCGGTAGCTCCTCATCTGGACTATCTGGTGGTGGAAGTACCACAGGGAATATGGGGCTAGCTGGTGGTGGCTGCAATACTGGCACTAGAGCTATAGATGCAAAAATTGACATAAATATCACTCTTTTGGTTTCGTTTTCATAATCTGTTTTCTGAAAAATAATAAAAATGTTTGGGGAAATTCATTATTTTTTTCACCAATTCAGAAGACAGACTATGAAAACAAAAACCAAGAAAGGTAGCAAGAAAAAGATGGACTTTTTGATGTGGGATTACCTTGACACTGACTCAATGGAGGCGCGGATATGAAACAGGTTGACAGTGGCAGTAACAGTGGGGTGCTTGGGAGAGGACTAGACGATGCTAGAAGTGAGCAGAGGCAGTAAAACCCAGCTTGAACTGCTCGGTTAAGGACCATGCAGCAAGATTCAATGGAGATGGGGTTTTCACCTTGTTTGAGGCATTGCTCGAGGTCTATACCCTGAATAGAACAAGCTTGCATCTGGGGTTGTACCATGGTAGGTTTGACAGAGAGTAGAAGTGTCAAAACCCAAGAGAATTTGATGGAAAACATGGCCTCTGAACCCATCACTGCAGTTCAAATTTGTGATGAAGTCTATCAGCCTGGCTAATCACTTATATGCCATGTACGAAAGGGGGGTGGATTTGCATGTTGATTACCTACTCGGATCATTCCGGTAGTGCCTTTAGCTTTATTTTCTTTCAAAAATGCAACAAATACAGGGTTTTTTTTTATACCGAAAAGTACATAGACAGTGTCTACATTCCACCGGGATGAATGCAGTGTTGTCAACATTGTATTTTATGTACTTTTCTATAAATAAATAAAAAAGTACTTCGTATTTCTTTTCTTGAGTCACAAATTTAAATTCATCCGTTTTAACAAAGATTTTTTCACGAAAAAGTGCACAAAATGCAGTACTGGCATCATTGAATTCATCTTGGATAGGGTTTTCACTCCACCAAGATAAATGCAGTGTTGCCAACATTGTATTCTATTTTCTTTTACAAAAAAAAAAAAAAAAAAAAAATTTCTGAACCTCCATGGGATTGTACTAAGTTGTAAACTAGCTGGTTTTCATTTATTAAAGTTTTTCTTTTCTCAATCACACAAGGTCCTTAAAACACTAGAATCAATGGGTTACATACTAATCAGTCGTCAAGTGGCAATCGTGCAATCAATTTTGCACATAGCTAAGGCTGACAGAAACACATGAAAGCTATGAAACAACCGAATTGTAAAACCAAAAAAATAAAAACAACAGAATTGAGCATTCTGTATTTTAGCAGAAGCGATTACATTGTCATATGCGATTAACATTAAATTATTAGTCTTCACAATTAGAGGCGTAATCGACTCTGCTTGCAAGGATGGATAGGTAATTTTGAGTCAGTCACAAGTTGTAGTGACTTTCAAGTTTCAACTAAAATCATGAACATTGACATGATTTGGTGATAATGCACAAGTAAAGCATGACTGTTGCATGAACATGGCGCGCGTTTGATTTTTTGCACCTGATTGCAAGTTGTGTCATTCTTGTTATGCATCTGTTCTGAGATCCTACTGATCCGATGAATCAGAATTTCTATGAATTTTCTCTATCTTGTGATTAAAAAAAAAGGGACGATTCAGTACACGAAACTCCTGTTAAGAGATCTCAATCTCAGGATCGTGACATTATTCACAACAATGCTAAAGATTTGATTGGAGTAAAGTACAGTAATCTCATCTTGATTGACTTTGTTATGGAATAGTTTATTAACAGAAAATACAATTTAATTCCAATGGAAATTCATATTACAAACTGGTTTGAAAATTATTTATCAATTGTACTCAATAATCTATACAAGCCCAAACAATATTTCACATCCCTCAAAAGAATATTTCTAAAAAATACATAGACAAATGCACATCACTACATGTACAGAGGGACAGAGATGTTAACATATTAATAAAATTGTTAATATAATATGTTAATATATTATAGTATGTATATAATGGTCATACATCTAGCTAGATAGGATTCTTTGTCATTCTTTGTCCCTGCTTTCGGTCGCCCGCCTTCTTTCAGCGTCATTTTCCTTATTATATTGAATTATATCATAATGATGTTTTGTATCTAGCTCTTATATTATGGAGCCTCTATTTGGTTTCTGAACATAGTTTTAATAACAGAGTTCTCTTTCAATATCACTCTCTCAACTCTCTCTCAACTTATTTTACATGGTATCAGAGCACAGGTGTCTTTCCTAGCCTCTATTATTATTTTTTTTTTCCCTCTCTTGGCAGCTTGATCTCTCATCTGCAGATTGTTGCCCCTCTCGTCCTTCTCTCAAATTCAGTTTGGACACCACCGAAGCCTTCCTCTCCTCACTACGGATCCACGGCCACCAGAATCATCCTCTTTCGCCGTCACACGCGCCGTCACGCGCTCTTTTTGTCGCCGGCCAGTCGCCTATAGGATTCTTTGTCATTCTTTGTCCCTGTTTTCGGTCGCCCGCCTTTTTTCGGCCTCCTTTTCCTTATTATATTGAATTATATCATAATGATATTTTGTATCCAGCTCCTATATTATGGAGCCTCTATTTGGTTTCTGAACATAGTTTTAATAACAGAGTTCTCTTTCAATATCACTCTCTCAACTCTCTCTCAACTTATTTTACATGGTATCAGAGCACAGGTGTTTTTCCTAAGTCTCTTCTTCCGCTGCATCACATTTTCTTTTCTTGGCAGATTGCTCTGTATCTCGTCCTTACTTAATATACAGATTGGACAACACCAGCACCTTCGTCTCTTCACGACGAAGCCAACGCCACCAGATTCATCATCATCTGAAGTTTCACGCGCCTCCACGTGCCGCCAGAACATTAGGCAACGCGCTTCCTCGTTTCAGACACGCTCTACGCGCCTCCTACACTGTCCGATGCTATTGTGCGCCACGGCCTCATCTGCTAACGTGAGCCGCGTGTTTCTGACGTCAGCCGATGTCAGCCCTGGTTGCTTCCGTGCGCCGCGTGTTTTTCCCCTGCTAACGTGCGCCGCGCACCTCTATGCTAACGTGCGCTGCACCTGTGACATCAGCCTTGCATCATCCTTGTTTGACCAGATTCGTTGACCAATCCATTTTCTGCCTTTCTGGTCATATTTTTGGTCCGTTCACTCATTTTCCGACTGATTTTGACCATCTGAATTCACTGGTAACCTCGGTTTTTTTTCAGATTCTACCTCAATTGTGCTATTTTTCTCTCATGGATCGCCTGGACTTCTCTAACCACTCTATTTCCGTTATTCTTGACGGGACTAATTATGTCCTATGGGCACAAGCTATGTCTGGCTTCCTCAAAGGAAAGAAACTTTGGCGCATCATCACTGGGGATGTGTGCAAACTCGTTCATGGGACCACGGATTCCGCTGCCACGGACTCTGCTGCCAAATATGTTGACCGACTGGAAGATTGGGATAGTAAAAACTATCAGATCATCACTTGGTTTCGCAATACTTCTATTACATCTATCAGCCTTCAGTTTGGTCGGTTCCAACTTGACTCTGCTTCCTCTCCCGCCAGGGCCATCTGGGATTTTTTACAAGAATGCTATCAGACTACTGGCCTTGCTCACCAATATTAGCTTCTGAGTCATCTTCACCGTATGCGCCAAGATACAACTCAGAACATTAATGATTTCTTCTCCCAAATGTATTATGTTTGGGATCATCTCGCTCTTTCTGAACCTCCATGGGATTGTACTAAGGATGCTGCCTTGTTTACTACTTACCGTGACCAACAGCGCTTGGTTCAGTTTCTCATGGCTCCCACTCCCCGTTTTGAGCAAGTACGCGCATCTCTCCTTCATCGCACTCCTTTACCCACTCTTGAGCAAGCAATTTCTGAACTCCTGTCAGAGGAAACCAGGTTTGGTACTTTCCATCCGCACCCTGTGGACTCTGTTCTTGTCACTCCCCAAATTTGAAGTTCTCCTTCCCTACCTTCACCACAGAGGTCAACTTCCTGCAATTACTGTCACAACCGCAATCTTCCGTCGACTCATCTTCTAGTTAATTGTCCAGTTCGTCTTTGTCGGTTTTGCAACAAGACTGGCCCTGGTCATCTCCAGCAAGATTGCTTCCACAATCCTGCCCGTGCCTCTCGCAATGGTCCTTCCACCGAGAATTTTTCTCGCAGCCACTCTCACGGTTCTGGGACTCCGTTCAAACCAATGCCTGCTCAACGCACTGCTGCTGCTGCCTCAGAGGATTTACCTTCCTCTGTTCCTATAGACCCTTCCACTCCAGTCTACTCCCAAACCGATGTCGACGCCATGTTTCAACAATTTTGGCAAAATTCCGGTACTCCTCCATCTACTGCTTTAACTGCCACCGCAGGTAACTCTTCTTGGTACTTTGACTCCGCTTGTTGTAATCACATGACCTTTAACCCTACTATTTTTACTCCTCTCTCTTCTACTCCTCATGTTCCTTCTATCCATACTGCTGATGGGTCTCTTTTGTCTGTAAGTCATGTTGGTTCTGTTTCAACCTCTCACTTATCTTTATCTCATGTCTATCTTATGCCTGCTCTTACTTTAAATCTTATCTCCATTAGTCAATTATGTGAGCATGGTCTAACTGTTACCTTTTCCTGTTCTGGTTGTTTGGTGCAGGACCCTCGGACGGGGCAAACTCTTGGGATAGGCCGTAAGCATGGACGTCTCTAAGAACTCATCCATCCTCATGTTCCAGATTCCTCTCAGATCACAGCTCCTACCACTGCTACCACTGCTCCTCCTTTATCTCCTTTTCAGCTTTGGCATTGTCGTTTAGGCCATCTTTCTGTTGGTCGTTTAAAATCTTTAATTTCCAGTGGTCATTTAGATCATGTAAGTTCTGATGTTTTAGATTGTGTGTCCTGTCAACTTGCCAAACAACCTGTCTTGTCGTTTAATAAAAGTGACTCTGTTTCTCTTGCCCCATTTGATCTCATTCACTCTGATATTTGGGGACCCTCTCCTACTCCTACTATGGGAGGCGCACAGACACATCTGCATATGTTGCTCCAGAGAGAATAAGCTTCGATATAGGAACTTTATTACCATGCCCTTCAAAATATAGAATGAATGTTGCAATTACTCATGTTTAAACTTGGTCCAGAGAAATTTTAGTCCCAGAAAAAATTGGTCCAGAGAAAATTCGGGGAAGAATTTCTCTGGACCAACCCAGAGAAAATTTAGTTAAAAAACCAGAGAATTTCTCTGGTTTCAACTTCGAGAAAATTCAGTTAAAAAACGAGAGAATTTCTCTGGTTTCAACTTCAAATGAAAAAAAAATTTAATTCACAATTTGGAACCTGGAATGCTTAATGGACTTCACAGAGAAATTCTAGTTTACAGAGATTTTCTCTGGTCCAATTTTCTCTGGACTTCACAGTTCACAGAGAATTTCTGACAGGTTTGCAAAG